CCATTCTATGATTCTATGACAAACAGCATTAATAGTGCTGTACCCCAACCATCTTCTCCTCATGTTTGTTAGCTTTTCATCCTCTGGCATCTCAGGGTCTCTGTGCACAGGAATGCAGACTCTCCCTGGATCATTAGTCTACAGTACACGGCAACAGACATGGAGGGACATTTGTGATACAGCAATTGTTGTTGTTATTTATTATTGTTGTTGTTGTTGTTATTATTATTTAATCATGTAATGTCAGTACCTTCCTTATATGAAGTAAAATGCCTAACTTGTGCAGTGCAGCCCCACAGATCTTTAGCTGTCCGTGCTGACTATGGCCAAATGGTGCACAATTAAAGTTGTCAGTTCAAGTCTCCCTGAAAAGCTAGGCTGTGTTTCACCTTACTTCAATGTATACACTGTAGGATGATATCCTTTGGTCATACTGACTACTTCTTGCAAATAGGAGTGGAATGTAAAAGGGTGTTAGCTTTTCCTGCATTTGAGAAGGTAGGGCATCATACGGTCAAATACTGTCCACACTGTGATAACAATGCACTTGTTTTTAAGTCAGTCTGAAGTTAATCACTGTAAGTGGCTTGACTATTTCTTCTTCCCAAGGTCTTCTACTCAGAGGTTGAAGGTGACAAAGCAGTTAAGCAGCTCTCACATGATGTTCCCCTGAGTTTGGATATGCTTAGCATGGTGAGTATTTCTTTTCATCAACAGTCAGAGCACTGGAGCTGAGCTTGCAGGTGGGGACTTACAACTGCTTGCTTGTTGCTGGTTTGTGAATTATGCTGAGGATCCAATCCCCAGATCTGCTCTGGGTGTTGTCCAAAGGAAATCACAATGGTTTTCTGTAATACAGTCAGTGTGATATAGTTTTGCTCCTTGTTATCTGACTGATTTATCATGTACAACTATTGAGTCTGTGTCTTCCTAGTCCTGACCTTTGGCTTCTACTAAAATAGAACTTTTGCATTTTCTTTGCACTTCCACACATGGAAAGGGAATTGCACAACTCTATTCACAGTTATAGTTGCAATTTCAGTGTAGGTATCTTGCAGCATCTGACACAGGTAACTGTGTGAGTTAGATGCAGTTTTCTGTATATTTTTTTCTTTATGTGAAACTATGGCTTCCTGAAATATAGAATTTAAAGTTAAGTAGTGCTGCTTTAATTGCACTTGGTGCAAGTCCATTTCCTAGAAGATTCCCTCAACTTCTTTTTGTTGTTTTTGAAAGCATTAATTTTCCTCCTTGCTTCCTATTTTCCCCTTTTCCTTTAGTTCTGTTTTTCCTTTTATCTCTCTTTTGCTTTCTTACTTTGCTTTATTTCACTCTCCCTTTGTCTTTCTGCCTTCCCTTATTCTGACCATTTTGCCCTTCTTTTTCCACTTGTGAATAAACACTGCCCATCCTCTTCTGCTGCACCACTGAGTGATTAGTGCCAAGATGACAGCAATTCCTCCATGGTTCTATGTGGTTTTAATACTGTCGGCTTTTAAAGGGTATTCTGGAAACACCCTGGTGCTTCCTCAGTGCAGAGAAGCAGCTTATTGCGAGGCAGGAACAGAGATTTTCCAGCCCCTGCTTGGGCAGAGATTGAAGGAGTGTTGCAGGGTGGGTGCTGTGAGGGGTGCACTTTCATACGACACTCCGCACAGGGCAGTTTGCCCACCAGACAGCAACGTTGCCAGCACAGGAATCAAAGTCTTATGTGTGCGCATAAAGGAACATTTCAGGCTTTCCAGTCTTTATTTAATGATCTTTCTTCACAATTCAATCTTTTCCTCCTTTCTTTTCTGCTCGTCTTCATTTTGCATTATTTCCTTACCTCTCTTCCTTCAGCCTCCCCACCTGATGTTCGGTGAAATGTACACGCTGATATTTCCTGATCCCTGCTGGGCAGTGCTTAGAAACCTTCCCTGTGAGAAGCGTGAGTGAGGGGGATGCTCAGGTTTCCTGCAGTTTTCCGTCACTCTGGTTGTCAGTTCTGGCTTCTGCAGGCTTCTGGGATCATGGCAAAGGAAAGAATATCATTGCCATGATATATTATTTCTTTATTTATGTATTATTTTCTCCCTTCTGATCTTTATCTCTATATTCCTCACCTGCTTCTTTTTCCTCAAAAAAACATTCTTGCTAGTAATGTCAACAGAGATCAAACAGCACACTGCTTTTTTATCTTAATCCTGACAACATTGGGAGAACAGAGTCTGTATCCCAGCCACAGCTCACACAGCCACATAGACTACTATAGGGTGCAGCATTGGCCTTGTTTTAATTCCCTGACCCATTATATATGTGGGTTTGCTATCACTTTTTAGTATATTACTTCGTTAACAAATACTATTTTGCTTTTTCCCAGGGTCAACTTGAAGGACAAGCAATCTTTGTAAGTATTGCTTCATGTGAAATCTGGTTGTACCTATCATTTAAAATGAAACTGAATGTTCCCGACCTGGTCTTGCCACAGATTCACACATAGCAGTTGATTTGGAATGTTGATTATAGGTAGCACTTATAGAGGATATTTTGTAGGTAAAAATTTAGTAAATAGTAGCTGAAGCTTGAAATCCAGGGGTGAAGGTGGACACATGTAGCTACAGCAGCTCTGTTTTTAGCAACAGACAAGTATTTCAGTCCTAGAAAGTATTTATGGATGTCTTGTTTTGCTGGAGTAAACTTGTGTAAAAAGTGAGCCATATCCAGGCAGTGAGGACTTAGAGGGGACAGGGTCGGTTGGAGAGTCAGACATACAGTGACAAGGAAGAACAAACTGGCAGTGGGAGAGGAGGTGAAGAGGGAAAACCCTGAGACAGTCCAGGGAGAGCCGAGGGGGAGGACTGTGGGAAGAGGCCAGCCACGCAATGCCCAGGAGGAAGGAGTGGGAGATAAACAACTAGTATAAAACAGGTTTGAAAGAAATACCGGCCCTTTTAATGGCTTTGCAGCTGGTGAATTATTCAGATTAATTATTTCCAGTCCTGCACTCGGTCCAGTCTGCTTCCTATGAGCACTAAACAGATTGGGTTTGTTGTGAGACGGGAAGCAAGTGGGAGGTGCTTGGATTTCGGTAGGATAAGGGCAGCAATTTCAGTGTTCAACTGAAATCCCTAACATCAACAACCTCTTGCAGACTATTTTTTTCCTGAGAGCTGTTCTAGGAATGGAGAAATCCCATAAAGTTTGTGGATCTTGCACAGCTTTCATGGTCTGTATTAAGGGAAGTTTGGTTGGACTGTAGGAGGCTGATGTCTGGATGAGACCTCAGGAGGCACTTGAACCAGGACTATCTGGTTTGATCCCATCTGAGCTGAGTCTGGATTATGACCTTTCAGAGCTGAGGTTCCGTGCAGGGCCCTTTTTTTTCCTGCTGGATAAAAATAACACTTCTGAGGGGTACTTGTGGAGAAGTATGACTGACTGGGATTAATCAGCTCTCAGCCGTCATTAATCCTCAGGAAGTGGTGTTCTCACTGAAATGCTTTCTGGTATATTCATACCAAACTCAACAGAAATCTGCAACAGTTTTGTGGTTAAGTCTGCACAGTTAATGTTTCTGTCACTAAGCCTCCTCTCCTGTGCCAGGTTCATCCCCACTGCTTTCTCAGGGGCTTCTCTGGACCATGCGAGACTGTCCTAGCAGGAGCTGAACAGGGTTGCCTTGTTCCTGTGTGTGTGCACGTGCCTGTGCGTTAGCAAAGTGGATAATGTATTATATCTTTATTATATCATCTTACAATAGAGAACATGTGAGTGAGAGCAGCCAAGAGAAGTGCAGTGGCAGTACAATCTAATAAGGCAGCTGTTCTACTAGGCATAATATTCAGGAAGTTGAGCACAAGGATTAAGGAAAAGAAAATGTAAGAAAAATCAGTAGACTTTAAAGGTGGGAGGTCTTAGGTCAGGCAGAGAACCCTGGAGAGCAATAGCGCTCCCTATCAAATCACCAAACACACCAGTTCAAAATGGGAAGTGACCAACTGAGACCAGTAGCGCAGGGAAATTGTCAGGGGATCAAGTGTCATTAAACCCAGTTCGGTTACTGCAGCTGCGCCGTAATCCAGTTTGATTTTTTTTTTTTAATTAATACAAAACAAAAGACAAAGCAGGTTTTCTTTGGAAAATAATTTGTAATCCTGGTTTCTGCGCTTACTGCGCAGCCTCACATTTTCAACACGCTTGGAGGGAGAGCAAGCTGTGTGGCGGGGCAGGGAGAGATATTTGGTTTCTAAGTATACCTGATTCCTCTACCACAGAAAAGGTATGATGTTGCTTCATCCCATGCAAGAATGTGAGGTTGTGATGAAAATACCAAATTTCATCTTGCAGGGTTTTATCAATAGTATTGCGTAAGACAAGAAAGTGAGGTTGGTGCCTAGTGAAGCCTCATCGGCAATGTTATGTCCAGTCTGAAGTATCGCGCTTCAAAATATAGAGGCAACCTTAGTGGAGAGAAAGACAATAAAAATGATGGGGAGCTAACTCTTCTACATACTACCTAAATTCCTTATCTGTGAAGCCACTGTGTCTCTTATGGGATGGTGAAAACTTGGGTTTAAGACCCTTCTCCTAAATACAAGCAAAAAAGTTGTGAAATATGTACTCCCAGACTCCTGGACAGGAGGGTAGAAGAAAATATGTTTCTTCTCCAGATTCTCATTTGAAAGTGTTCTGGTGTGAGGTGGGTGTTCCCTGAGATTGCCATGCGTCAGGGTAGCTTGGTAGTGTCCTGAATCTTTTTACCTATTCACTAGTGTTTTGATCCTAGAAGATTAGAAGAAACTTGATCTGAAAATCTCTATGTCCAACTCTGTCCCACTCCATGTCCAACAGCTGTGTTCATGGAGTAGACATTGCCGGAAGAAAGATGCAGATAGCTGTGTGTGTAAGGCAAGAGAACACCTTGCTGAGGTTTTGAGGGTCCACCTGTTCAACTTAAATACCTAAGTAGATATTAGGACTTTGATCTTGATTGGCCTTGTAGTCAATGAGACTAATTCTGTTTAGTTCATTGTGAGTTTGAGTCTGGAGGTAATAATATGGGACAAGTATATCAGTATCATACTGTCTGTAGAGACCCAATTCCTGAGTAGTGTGAAAGAAATAAGACACATAATGAAGGATTTTTTCACCTAAGAATGAATGTAATAAAGGGATGCCAGCAGGAACAAATGCACACAATTTAAATACTGATAGTATGTATGGCATGGAGGATGGAATGGCGTGAGCAGGGTCATCAGTACTGTCGTTGGGAGGAGGTGCTGGATTTTCAGCAACTGGCTTTTCAGATCACATTTTGAAGGATTTCAGTCGCTTCAGCTACGAAACAGTAAGACCCAGATAAATCTTCTGGTGCGAATGTCCTTGCTGCCTCTCTCTGGGCAGTTACTTTTCCACCATTGTTACCATCTCTCTCAGATGAATCCAAATCATTAAAGAAGATCAAGGGTGAATGCTGGATACACGGGATAATGGTCAGGTGGCCCATGTTTACAGGAGATCAGTGATGGAGATCCAAAACCGCAGCTAGAGAAATCACAGATGGCAGGGTGTTGCCAAAAATGTTGTAGTAATAACCTGAATTCCCCAAAGAATAGAGGGGGAGAGTTTTTCCAAAAGACTGTCATAAGGAAATTTAGCAGTTAATAAAATTTTGGGATTGTTTACTATTTTACTGCAACTGGAAATGCATATTTAAAGTCTGTTCCAGAGTGAAGAGAAGGGAGTTCTCTGCATTTTCACATTCACTGTGAATAATGTTTTTAATATAAGAGAATGAAAAATAGAAGAAAAAATCACTGTAAAACAATTTTTTGTAAGTGCTTTTTTTCCACACCAAAACAGCCTGTGGTGTAGAACCTGGTATTCCTGTTTACTTGTATATGCTGTCAAAATTTGTAAATGTGGGATATACATCTCTCTACAGACAGGCTGCAGATAAAGAATACTGAACTTCTATACACACATACACATGCTCCATTAAAGACCAGAGCTAAATGTCTGAATCTGACCCATGCTATGAGCACCAGTCAGTGATAAAATGTAAGTTTTTGGTGACATTTGCTAATTTCCAGGAGATTTGAGCAGGCTTCTCTGAACAGTATTCAGCAGCACAAGCTTTTCACATGGAGGTTAGCACTGCCTCCCTTATGGTAGTTATCTGTGTGTTTATGGCAGAAGGACAAGTAAGGGAAATGCTTGCTTCAGGTCAAGGTTGATAGGAAAAAAATTGTGAGAGGTGATGGGACTGGTCTCTGCTCTGTGAGAAACTGAAGATCATCAGTTCACACTGCAGCAACTTGCTTCATTCTTAGGAGCTTCTATGGTCTCTGGATTTAAAAGAAAAACAAACAAACAAAATAACCCAAAGTAAAGAAAAGAAAAAAAAAGAAAAAGAAAATGCACCAGACTGATACTGAATGCCAGAAACTGGCTCAAGGGAGGGAATAGTATGTGACTTTGACTTCACCAGTAAAAAAGCCGGGCAGTGAATGCAAACGACCTTGAGAGTTATGCTGAGAAATGGGTCCAGGTCATCCCTGTGGATTCCCCCTGGGGCAAAGTTGCAGCTTGAGAGGAAACATGTGGTGCTGTTTGTGTTTGTTGCTTCTGGGCTGGGGACAGGCCTCCTAGGAGGTTACATGGAAAATGCTGTGTAGGATGCCCAAAACACAGCTCTCAGCACCATCCCCAGTTACACGGAAGTGCTTTCACAATGCTCTTGTCTTCTCTTGGCTCTGTCAGGAAGTTGTTATTGGTGATCTAAAGCCAGGCACTCCTCACCGTGTTAGCGTTGGAGCATATGGCTGGGCAGGGAAAGGACGACCCAGCATGCCCAGAGATGTGACAACCCTCTCCCAAGGTAATGCTGCAGACATGGCTTTCTGTGGTGAAACTGGCTGGGCACGCGTCTGTTACACAGCAGCTCACTCTCACTGAAGTCTCCACCATGTGCAGGATTGTAATATTTTACTATGAATTTTCCACAAGTGTGGGGTTTTAGAGGGGCAGCAGGGGAGGGGAGAAGCCTATGTATTTGACTCCCAAGTCTGTGGGTGTTGGGTTATTGTGTGTATTAGCCCGTCTGCTTCTCTAATGCTATTCCATTGCATCTCTTCTGGCTTAGATAAGTGCATGCCCCCTGCACCACCTTATCAACCTCAGATTGTGGTAGTTTCTGATTCAGAAGTTGCATTATCCTGGAAGCCTGGAGTAAGTGAAGGAAGTTCTCCCATCCAGCACTACATGGTGGAGTTTATCAGGCAAGTTTGCTAGTGGAGTCTGAATTTCAGTGTTACTGCATTATAGTTCTTTTATTTTTTACCTAAACTGCACTATTAAACTGCGTATAGATTCGTCTCATGATTTATTTACTCAGTGTTTATCATACACTTAGTTCTCCTTTCAATTTATGTTGAATTACCATGGACATTTAAAGACAAAACCAGAAGTAATCTTATTTGTTATAAAATCACCAATAAGTCATACTTTCTGATTGCACAAAATAAGGTCTAATTCGATCTGTTCCCTCTAATAAAGGCCTCAGTGAATGAAGTTTCTACTGTCATCAAGTGTCAGACGATGCTGAGAAAAGAGTGTGTGGCAGAGCAGTTCCCCTGAGCAGGAGTACCCTGGACTGCTATAGGAAATAATCAGGGCTCTCCAACCTCCTTATGTTGGGCAGCTTCATCTGACAATTTGGGTCTTGAGCTTGCCGGACACAGACTTGATTTGTTATCCTAAAGCTAATCAAATTTACATGAAACACTGGCCTTTCTGTTTAGATTTTTGAGGGGAGATGGGGTGTTGGTGGTTTTTTTTTTTCCTTCTTTTATATTGAACTTGCTAAAATTTGCAGTAATAGAACTGAACTGTGAGAAGTTGCCAATCAAGTTGCTTTTATAAGACGCCTGTGAAGGGTCAGGAGGAGGTGGTTGTATCTGCATGCACAAACAAGTATTCATACCTGACTGTTCATATGCTTGTGTAAGCTACTATCTGCGTACAAAGCTGTTCATTTTCATTTGCTTGCCCCTATGTTTACTCTTACAGTGAATACAAAATTCAGCCTTTGGAAGTTTAATCCTTTGCATGAACACTTGATGACAGGTTTTAGTTAAGTCTCCTGGAAAAGAAGAGAGAATCTGAGCTGTGAAAGTAAAAAAATTGTTCTTCAGAAAAACAAATCCATTTTGTAAAAAGAATTTTGGTGGTTAAAATAGAAAAAAATATGTTGTTAAAACAGACAGAAAGAACTATTGTTTTTCAGTGCTTGAAGTATGGTTACAATCTAGAAGATACTGATATACTGAAAAAAATTCCCAGGTTGAAAGTCTACTTGCATTGCACTTTGGTTTTGAATCAAAATGCCCCATATTTAGTGGGAAGCCATTTAGTGTCCACGGGGAGGCAGGACATGAGAGCTGAAGATACATTATGACCGTCATGTAAACTCTGCTGTAGCACTACGATGAAATCTCTCCAATATCTATTTTTCAAACACAGTTGTTATCTGAGCCTTTCTCTCTTCTCCCCATCTCTTCTCTCTCACTTTCTCGATGGATGGGGAAGGGATTTTGTTGGGTTCTGACTGACCACACTTCTGTCACCTCCATGCTTTTGCTGGAAAGTGGAGCCTGCAGGTTTATGTACACCACTCCATAGCGCCAGGGTCCTGCTAATGGAAGGAGAAGTGGCGCACCATCATCTTCAGCTGACACACTGAAAGTGCACCCTTGAATGTTTTTGTTCAGCCAGGGAGTGGAAAGCTGCCTTCACTGTTTAAGTGGAAAGATGCGAGTAATTGAAATTTCAGTGTTTTGTTGGTTTTAGACTTTGGGAAAGAATTTGCTAACAGCACAATGTTTTGATTACACTGTTTAGTTAGAGGTTTAAAGCTAAGCTGGAACTGTATTTGTTAATTTTGAGATTATGCTCTCTTAGACTTGGAAGCTTGATTATATATTTGGCCAAAGTGCAATGAGCCATAAGCCCTAATGGCAGTTAGGGGTAAAAATTTAACTTTAAGCTTCATTGTCTTTTGCTGAATATAGTTTTAATTACTATAAAATGTATTAACATGAGTTAAAGCTGTTAAATTAAACCAGTATAAAACCAAAACAAAACAGTGCGAGTAAATTCAGGATTAATTCTTCTTCTGTCAAAGAAATACAGTATTATCCTGTGCTTTTGCAAAATTAGTAATTTTCTTATGTAAATCCGTAATTTCTCTTGGGTTCAACACAAACATCTCAAAACTATGACAGTGTTTAAAACATTTCAGTCCCCTTAGAACTAACTCTATGACTTTAACCCTAGAAAAACCATGCTGGGAGACTGAAATGAGGGAAAAACACTCTTTTCTTTTGCTTAACTCTGATAATTGGGGATTAAAATCTCATGAAAATTCAATACATTAAGTGTTGGCACATACCAAAATCTACCAGAACCACAACTAACCTGCAGTCTGTTTCTACTTGGGGTATAAATTTGAGCCTTTATTTAGGCACTTGCATGGGTTTCCCTTGGGAAATTTCGTTCACTATAGGCAGTGGAGGCCTGCAGGCAGTTTCAGATGTGGGACGAGCTGGGCTAACTCAGGTTCTGCGCTGCAGCTGACTATAAGAGGACGCTAAGGAGACCACAATCCCAACCTGATTAAATGCTGAAAATCAGGAGAGTGAATCTAGATCTCACTGCGCAGTTCATAGGGAATATGTAAAAGAACGTGTTAAACCCAAAATAGCTAATGGTGTCTGTAGAAACTTGCAGGGTGAGTGTAAATAGTCTGTTGGTTAATGCTGAGAAATATTTCATGACACATGGCATTCTTATGAAAGGCTCTGAAGTGAGACCCTGGACATAAACATATTAGTTTGGGTGTTCTTCCTGAAGATACTATTGAAAGAAACTCAAAAATGTCTTGGATATTTTCATTCCAATTCTCCAAATAATCAAAATTTTAATCTGTTGAATGCCCATCCAATCTTCTAAACATGGAGACTAACTTATCCAAATTTTTAGTTAGCCAGCATCTACAGAACCACATGTTTTTCGGCAGTGTATCCCCTGAAAGTATTGGGTCACTTTCTTTTCAACTCCTTAGTATGTAGCTGGAGTCAACAGCTTTCAATATCAATCTTGACATACAGGAGAAATTTTTCAGTGTCTTGGTAGTGACATGAAACTTCTGCCTCAAGGAAATAAGCAGGTTCTGCTGATAAAACTGGGGAGATTCATTAGTATGCAAATGTTAGGGTGGAGCAGATTCTGCAGTGTTGTGGCCAGATTTATTGATTCGCTTGAATTTTTCCCTCCTAAAAAAGATGTATCCCTGAATCCAGTATCTGTTGAACTATCTGTGCGTGGCGCTGCACTGAACCCCACAGTCATATTTGCTTATTTTTGCAAAGAACCCAAAGCAAATGGTCTGACCAGGGAGATACCTCCTAATGCCCAGCAAAAATAACTTCAATACTGTTTTCATGATTAATACATGAAACACATACATCTGCCTCAACATTTGACTTAGTGTTTGTGAGGGTTGAATCCTTGAAAAGGAAGTTAATGAAGAAATAGAAGTGGAAGATGCAGAAATTAGAGGGAAACTGCTTAATAATGTTAGACAGCATCAGAGGAATACTTAAAATAATGATGAGGTTAGAAAATTGTCTGCTTTTCCTTTCCTCAGAGTTGACCTGGCATAGTGGTTGATATATTTTGTAGGAAGTGTCACAATAAAACTAAATAATAATAATTACTAAAAATAATATCCCAGAGTATGTTATTTTCTACAATAAATATTTTCTATAGAGAATGTAATGTACTTGGTGCTATGCTTTTTTTTGGGGGGGGGTAGGAAGATATTTTTAAAAAAAAATTGTAGAGATGAATTTGCCACTTGAGTACAAACACAGCACAAAAGAAAAAACACCTTATAAAAATTGGATTGCTAGCAGGTGCTTCACTCTGCTAAATCGTTTC